ATTTATATATATTCTTTTGAATTCTAGGCCCTTATTTAAGATGGGTCCTAGGAGGAGGTAGCATTTACCTTTGTCTCCTCCTGATCGAGCACAACAAGCACACAGAGGCACCACGAGCACATCGCCAGGGCAGGGAAGTGTTGCTCGGTGGTGGTGCAGGCGATCGAGGCACCCATGGGCATGGTGCGGGCCGTGGTGCGGCGCTTTGACCGGCCGCAAGCATAGAACTTCATTCGGAGTTGTTGCCTCGTGGATGACGACGACGACGCGATGGTCGATGCATGAGGCGGGTGGTGTCGGCCTTCCCGCCATCAATAGCCACGAGTAGCTGGAGATCCTCGACAACGAGGGTCGTGTGCTCAGCTTCCGTGTCGTTGGCAGCGAGCACCGCCTCTCCAATTATTAGTTAGTGACCACCGTGCACGAGACCACATTGGCGGGCACATGCGTCGTCGAGTGGTGGAGTCGAGTAAATTACACAGAAGTATCACAATTGGGGCATTGGAAGCAGATTGGTACGAAGTTTGATAATTTTTACGTGTCAGTATCAAGTCTGGGGCTAGACGTTGCAAAAAGGTCTAAATCGCGTATAAACGCGTATTGACAGTGTATCTGACCGGTGGGACCCGCCTGTCAGGTGCCGATGTGGCATGTTATTTGCTAAAACCCCCCTTGCTTTTAATGCCCTCCCATCCCCATCCCCAGTTAGATTCAATCGAAACAGAGAGGGCGGATTCATCACCGCTGCCGTCTCGAGACAACGACGCCGCCCCCCCATGACGCATCCACTGTCGTCGCTGGCTCCCTCCATCGCCGGCCCTGAGCTCCCCTGCGACCGCCGCCTACCTCCATCGCCGGCCCTGAGCTCCCCTGCGACCGCCGCCTACCTCCATCGCCCGTCTCCTCCGGTGCCCGTGTGCCCATCCGTCGCCGGCCCCTCCGCGCCGACCCGTCCCCGCCGGCTGGAGAAAGCGCTTCTTCGAGCTCGTGGCCATGGTGGCCACGGCCTGCTGACGACGGTTCGCTCAAGTACGACAGCTGCGGCAGCGGAAAAAGAGGAAAAAAAGAGGGGAATGGAGGAGGGCTCACTAGGGAGCTCGAATCTGAGCTCAGGGAAGCCGGGGGCGGATCATGGCGGTGGGAATCGGCGGCGGACGGCGGTGACCCGAGGTGAGGATGGAGAGGAAGAGGAACCTCCTGGTGGCGCCCATGGAGACGTGACAGAAGGAGGAGAAAGGGAAGAGAAGAGGGCGTCGCAGGGTTGTTGCCGTCGTCGGCCAGCGGCGCTTCGGCGGCGAGGTCGCCGGTGCTGCTGATGCTGCTGCCGCTGCTCTGCTATGCTCTGCTGTTGTTGCTGCTATCCAGATCGGGCGCCACCGCGCGTGAGGACGAAGGAGGTGCGAGAGGGTTTCTGCAAAAAAATGCCACATCGGCAGCTGACATGCGGGCCCCGCCGGTCAGATACACCGTCAATACGTGTTTATACGCGATTTAGACCTTTTTGCAACGTCTAGCCCCAGACTTGGTACTGACACGTAAAAATTACCAAACTTGGTATCAATCTGCTTTCAATGCCCCAATTGTGGTACTTCTGTGTAATTTACTCGGTGGAGTCGTATGTGGTGGACGTGCCCCCCGTGAACACCGCCGACGGGACACGCAACTTCGTGGACACCATCGTGCGGTGCAACCTCCAGTCGCTGACGCGCACCGCCCAACAACTCGCCATCGCCGCTTTGGGCATGGCAGCATCCATCGGCTCGCATTATATATACTTCAGATGAATTGTTTTTACTACGTGTTATAGTGCCTTTGATGGCGTTACATGATGTGCCACAGAGAATCGTCTCTAGCAAAGCCAGCCCTAGGCCATGGAGAAATGTATCACATCGTATTTATTCAATATTTCTTTATATTTGAGTACATATATCTTATAATAATCATATATAGATGGTGTATTCAGGGCCGACCCTGAGGGGGAGGGGAGAGGGAGGAGCGGTCGCCCCAGACAAACAAGATTGCAGTGGTCACAACTCGTTCAAAATATTTCCGAATCCCCGTTTTTGCGCTGGGTCAAGCGTTTAACTTGGCCATTTGGTTGCTATGGTTGAGCAAGTTGTAGGTGCAGGTTTTTGAACTTCTAGGGTCACTTGGGAGAGTTGGGGATACTTGTAAGGTTCAATTGGGAGAGTTGGGGATAGTTTTCTCAGGAGATGGCACCGAAAAGGTGGTGGTTAGTGCTCCGGTGCTTGTTTCTAGTGGGAAACCAGGGCTGCTTAGTTGGGACTTGGGGCACATAATCATAGGGGTCAAAGTAGAGATGAGGGAAAGTGATGGGCTAGTTGGGGATTAAGGGGCTGTTCGGAGGCCCTCCGCTCCGCGCCCCCGCTCCCGGAGCGGACGGAGCTGCCGCTAGAAAATTCAGAGCGGCCGAAACGGTACTCCCCAGCTCCGTGTATTTTGAGGAGCTGGTGGATCCCCGAACGGGCCCTAAGCTAAGGCCTGAGGGTTATTTATTTGCTGTTAAGGTTGGTTGCTCTTGTTTACTAGTACTTCCAGTGCCTTCTTTTGAGTAAATGACAACTTTTCGGGTGATTTATTTGATATTTCTAAAATAAATCATTTTAAGTTATGAATACTCCAGTAAGAACTATATTTTTTTAAAAGTAGAGTATATTTAAAAAATATATAATTTTCAATGTAAGAAAGGTAGAATCGTGAATGTGGTGTTACCTAAAATAAAACATAATTTATTCTAAGAAAGAATGAATAAAGGGCATTGGTATAGCCCTCAAAGAAGGAATAAAATGAAGAAATAAAATAAACAAAACGACCGAAAACTTGCATGATTAACAACTCGTATGCTTGTGTTATATATACTTCAGACTATATTTATACTACTCGTTTGTTACATCTAACCTCACAACCTTTTTCCGAAAAAGAAAAAAAAACACCCCACAAAAGTTGTCATGTACTCCACCCAAAAGGAGGCACTGGCAGCATTAGTAAACAAGAGCAGCCAAGCTTAACAATAAACTAATCACCCTCAGGGGCCTTAGCCTAATCCCCAACTGGGCGCATCACTTTCCCTCGGCTCTACTTTGACCCCCTATGGATGTCCCAGTGCCCAGCTAACCTGCCCTGGTTTCCTCCGTGCAACCCACCGGAATCCAGCCCACCACCTTTCCTCTGGTTTCTCCTGAGAAAACTACCCCCAACTCCCCCAGCTGAACCTTCAAAGTATCCCCAACTCTCCCTCCCAAGTGACCCTAGAATTTCAGAAAACTGCACCTGCAAGGCTACAACTTGCTCAACCACAGCAGACAAATGGCCAAGTTGCCGCGCGTTGTGAGTGGCCACCGCAATCTTGTTTGTCCCAGGTGTATAATAAGCGCCCGGCCACCACCTCGCCAAAGGACCATCCATCTAACCCAGCGCTAGCTCTCTCTGCAAAGCTCCCTTGTCTACCATAAGCTCGGAAGAAGACGCCGGGAAGCTCGGCTGGAGGTGAGGGGCGGTGAAGAGGTGTATAATGCCGTACACGGCGTCGAGGCCGTCGGCGCCGCAGAGGGCGCGGGTGGCGGCGGGGGGCGGGGGGTGGAAGGCGGCGGCGCACGCGGCGTCGTGCGGGGCGGTGCCGGGGGAGGTGGCGCGGCACCACGAGCACGCGGCGGGGGCCGGGCAGTGCTGCTCGGCGGTGGTGCAGGCGATCGAGGCGCCCGTGGGCGCGGTGTGGGCCGTGGTGCGGCGCTTCGACCGCCCGCAGGCGTACAAGCACTTCATCCGGAGCTGCCGCGTCGTGGACGGCGACGGCGGCGCGGTGGGGTCGGTGCGCGAGGTGCGGGTGGTGTCGGGCCTCCCCGCCACCAGCAGCCGCGAGCGGCTGGAGATCCTGGACGACGAGCGCCGCGTGCTCAGCTTCCGCGTCGTCGGCGGCGAGCACCGCCTCTCCAACTACCGGTCGGTGACCACGGTGCACGAGGCCGCGTCGGCGGGCGCCGTCGTGGTGGAGTCGTACGTGGTGGACGTGCCCCCCGGGAACACCGCCGACGAGACGCGCACCTTCGTCGACACCATCGTGCGGTGCAACCTCCAGTCGCTGGCGCGCACCGCCCAGCAGCTCGCCCTCGCCGCCTAGGGCATGCCGGCCCTCCTCACCGGCGTCCACCAACAACCTTTTTCTCTTTTTTTTCCAGGAATTTGATCGTCGTTGCTTATTGTTTCCTGACTCCTTGTGCGAATTAGTTGCCTCCATCGAGGAGGCGATTGATCATGATCAGATCAGCGTGTGTTCTTCTAGCTTGTGTACGTTTACCCCCTTCCATTTTTGACTACACATAGTACAAATCATTGTGTTAGTGCTACTACCAGATACTAACCCTTGTTCATAAACATACATGCGTTCTTCCTCTTGTTCTCCCTAAATTTCTTGATGCATGTCAGTGCTATTGTGGTGTCCAAATCCTTTGTTTGAAAAGCAGCAATGCAAATTGTCATAATCAAATCCACAGCCAAGTGGGCAAAATATCTGAGGGCAGAGTGGGTGGTTAATTAGTTTAGTGGGACGCATACAATAGTCATTAGGGCCAGTTAAGGTTGTACCAAACGAAACGAATGCACATGGAGCTGTGGAGCCACGGAGGGGTAGTGGCCACTGGCCAAACGACCATAGCTAATCATGAACTGGCCGCTAATTAAAGTATCAACTAATGGCCGCGCCGTCCTGCATGCACAGTCCAACATCAACCCGGCTGGCATTCAGGCTAGCTCAGCTGTTCTGCTTTCGACATAAACAACAGCCCACCTCTGCGCTTCCATATCACGCGCCGCCATTTCTTAATCATTTGACTTTGATATCTTCCTCCCCCGAGACTTTGAATTCTCGCCACCTTATTGAGGTCGATCGTGTGTGCGATTGCAAAGGAGACAAATTATTGTTATAATTTCTGAATTTTTCAGGGAAGAGATTTTACAAACCATCCACGCTGCTGGCAGTCTGGCGCCCGTGGATCTCGATGCCCTAGTACGTGCGCCCATGCATCGATCTCCAGCTAAGAAACGTATCGTTCTCGTATCGTGAGAGAGCTATATAGTATTGCTGGGCGCTGGCGCATGACAGTACGATGTTGCACAGTTAATTAGAGAAAGCCAGATGAATTCAGTATGCAGAGATTCCGTACGTGCGTATCAAAATGCATGCGAGCGCTGTCATACAGTGTGCAGTGGTGGTGTGGAAGCAATGCAGGAGGTGACTTAACAATGGAGGTAAAGTGGATGCTTCATCCATGAAGCGCCCGGCAGAAGGAGACAATCAACACTCGATCTCGCATCACATACAGTACGACGACATATTGCTGCCAGTACGTCGATCGTATGCCATGGTAGTAGTACATGACAGTAACTAATCCATCAGAGGGAAACAAAACGCATTCATTGCCGAACGATGCAGAATGCAGTGTATAGTGTGGAAGAAATGCGCGAGCGTGACTTAACGACGGAGGTGAAGCGGACGCTTCGCCGACGCTGGAGGAAAGAGAGAGGTCGCAGCTGCATATGCCAAGTTGAGTTGAGACCGCGCACGCGCTACTCCGTCCTCATTGCCCGAGCTGCGCGCGTACATGGCGCCATTAAGTTTGGGATTAAATTTGGCTGCAGGCGCCCGGTGGGGGAATCAAACCACGCGTACGTACGTACCATGCGTACGGCCCGCTTGTTTCTTCCTTTGTTTGCCACCAACTTGATTGATTGATTCTCGTCCTTGCTTAATTAGTACTGGCAGCAGCACGTACCGCCCCTTTGTCACTGGTTTCTACCGCAAGAATCACACTAACCTAGTAGCAGTAGAGCTTTGAAAAAGATGGAGGGAGCGCTGCAAAAGAGAGGGGAGAAGAAAAATGCATGCTCGCTCGGCCAAACTGCACATATAATTTCATGATTGCAGTGCTGTGATCTAAATAACAAATCTGCAACTGGCGTGATGGCCTGCCCCAGCTCCGGGTTGTCTTTTTCAGCCAAGGATTCACTTGGCATTAACAAAACCGAAAGGTTAGGGTCGACATGTACCGATGTACGACGTGACGACGAGGGAAGAAATATTAAGCAGCTAGCACTTGGCCAACTTGTCCAACTAGGCGCCAGCATTTGATTTCCCTCTCCTCTCCTCTCCTCTCCTCTCCTCTCCTCGGTCAAGGACAGCAGCTCGATTCGTTTTGCTTCCTTCCTGCATGCAGCAGCTTTCTTCTTTCTTTCTTTCATTTCTTTCTCTCTTTGCTAATACGGAGCGAGTAGGATAGATTAGCTTGCGCCATCGCGAGCAAGTGGTGCCGCTCAACTTGCCTGGCCGCGCTTCCTTTGCACGACGTACGTAGGAGTACAAGCATGAGAGAAGAGGGAAGCTTCGCGTGCCCGCCAGTCCGACTCCGGCCCTTGGCGCCTCCGAGCATCAGCTCAGCTGCTCGATCGCTTGTGTGCACGCCCGGTTCCACGGCCTTTCCGTAGAGCTTGACGAGGGGGCAGACCGCAGAGATCCGAAGATCGACCTGAGTGAGATTTGCATCATGTGGAGCATCTTTGTTTGACGTGCCGACTCGCCGCTAGGGCGGTCTTGGCGAATGGCCCTAGCTAGTCTTGGTACGTATAGATGGACCCAGATGGCAAGGGGGTGTCCCTAGCTACCGTCATCAAGGGCATAGGACACCATGTAGATCATGATGCACAGGCTCGCGGCTGGCATCACGCTCGGGACAAAGGGACCGTGATCGGGTCCAGCCAGCGCTGGTCGCGCGCCATGGCAATCCGTCTACGACTAGGAGACGAGAGATGCCGCTGGACGTTCACGTACGCGGGCAAGCCATGCGTGCCGTGTAATGTTTCCATGTAGTACGTGCGTGCGCTCGCTCCGTTTTGTCGCGAGACGGACGGGAGTATAGAAGGCGGTGTCGACCGCCGTGCCGACGTCCTGGCCTGCCACTGGCTGGCCGCGTCAAGGCCACCAACCAACCAACCAACCCGGATACAGCCAGCCGGACACAGTACGCGCACGCTCCGTGCCTCCTTCTTCCTCGTCTCGATCGGGCCTCGAATCCCAGAGAATCAATCAATCTCCCGGGAGCCCACAGCGCCCTGCGGCGGACTCGAGAGCGTGCAAATCTGGGGCGCAGCGCGGATCGAGCCGTACGTGCGTGTGTGTGCGTACCTGCGGCGCTTTGCTTGACCTTAACCCCGCTGTCCCCCGGCGTGGCCCGTACTGATCCTGCTGTGCGTGTGATGATCGGGGACTGCGCGCGGCGCAGGTGGTCGAGTGGGTCGTATCCTCGGCGGCGATTTTATCCGACTAATCTTATGGCCATTTGGCCAAGTTGGCGTCCGTCGAGGGATGCGTGCGCCGGCGCCCCCGCGCGCGCAAGTGGGGGCTCGTTTCTCGGCAGCTCTTGGTGGTGTCGCGTAGCTGCTGCGTGTGTGCGTGCGTGCGCGCGCGCGCGGCGGCCGGTTGTTGGTTTGCTTCGTTGGGGATGAAGCTTGGGCTATGAATGATCGCGTCGGCGCGCGGGCGGGGGCTGGGCGCAGTTTGTCGCGAGGCGCACTCGATGATTTTTTCCCGGGCGAGGTCCGTGTAGGGTACGTACAAGATCGGAGGGCTCCCGCCAGGTTTGACAGATCAACTTGGACGTCGACAGTGCTCGTGTGGCAGCAGTTGGCCGTAGCTGGTTGATCTTACTAGCACAATTCGACTCGATTCATGTCCGGAAGAATATCATATCTTTCCCTAATAATAAAGCGCGGATTAACTTCGTGGGTTTACCGTCACAATACGCTTCTTTCTGTGAATTTACGCTTTCAGTTTGAATTTTAAACACATACGCGAGGTGGTACTAAAATAAAGTTCCCATATATTAGCTCTTTTTGCTCAAGCACCCACGATCGGTTTCCCAGGAACGATCGATCCTTCCTGACCGATGCCTGGTCAAATTGTTCTGGCCCATGCGGCCCAATGAAGCCTGACAAAAAACGGCCACACAAAAAAAGTTGCTATTATAAGGACTCGAACACGGGTTGCAAGAAAAGTGCACAGATCGAGCGTCCAACTCAGCTGGCCCATCCTATGCTTAGAGTAACAAGGATTACCTCTCTTAGTCTATCAGAGGATTTTCAGCCGTCAGGCCACATTATTCCGGCCCACCTTGCCGAAGGAAGCTACACAAGCGAACGGGCGAAGCTGGCCCATAGCCCGGTGCAAAAAAGTATTCGATGGTGGGCTGAATCAAACTCTGAACTGCATATACGATAACCAGTGTCGCTACCAACTGACATAGCTCATGGTGTATTTTCCTTAAAAAGAACTCATGGTGTATTATATTTAGGCTGTTGATTCACCTTTTAAATAGTCCCATACCGCTCTCTTAAACCCAATCTTTATAATTTATATACATCTTCAAAATTTTCTCGATATCAAGGAGCCGTCTCGGGACCCAATATAGAAGGAAATAAGTCCTTCCATAATAAAAGATAAGGAAGGAAAGAGGGAAAAATAAAGAAGGCAAGAGGGAGGGACTTCATGTTTCTTGACAGAATAAAGAAGGAAGGAGAGAAAAATAAGTGAGGAAAGAGGGCAGGGATTTCATATGGAAAGAGGAGGGATTTCACATGTTGCATGGCAGAATAAGGAAGGAAACAGGGGGGCGATTTCACGTGTAGACAGAGAAAAAAATGGAAAGTGGAAGCTGTCCCATAATTAAGTAAGGAAGGAAAATACAGAAAACTAAAAAATGAAATAGAGGGAGGGTCTCCAAATGGGGGATATAATGGCACTAAACGTCTCCGTCCATGGATAGCAACGGCATCAGGCAAGTTGAACTACTTTTTATATCTGAATTGTTGACGTCAAATTATAACTCAAAATCAAATTATGTTGGAATTGTTTAACATGCACAAAAAAATACTATGTCTAAATCACAATAAACAGGATTCATTCTATGTTGGTCATGTACAATATTTTTCTGAGAACAAAACAAATTTTTGCTCTTAATTTTCTGCTCGACCAGCTAGCGCCCGTCACAAACTCTTACAGTCCCTCTAATAAAAATAACGTTGATCACCAAAGCACAAGCAGTCGTACTCCCTGCTGTGTGCAACACAAAC